TCCCCGGCCCCGCCCCACGTGGTGCGGCGATCTCCCAGCATCCTCAGCGCCGCTTTCCCGCCAGGACGACGCTCAAGCGGTTTTCAGCTTCCCTTAGCCTCTTCCGAACACGTTTCAGCCTTCTGCTGCTGGATTTTTACGTCCGTCATCCCACCATGCAGCGTGACCCTCCGAAGAAGAAGCCGGACAAGAAGAGAGAAAAGCGGTTCTTTGACGCTGTGTCCTTCGGGAAGGACCTGCTGGCTGGCGGGGTGGCGGCGGCCGTGTCCAAGACGGCCGTGGCGCCCATCGAGCAGGTGAAGCTTCTGCTGCAGGTGCAGGCGTCGTCCAAGCAGATCTCCCCCGAGATGCAGTACAAGGGCATCGTGGACTGTCTGCTGCGCATTCCCCGCGAGCAGGGTGAGTAGGGGCTGCCGCCATGCCTCCCCCCCGCCCACCTCCACTTCTCCGTGGGTCAGGAGGGGACAACTGCAGGGGCCAGGGCCGTGTCCGTTGGGGGGTGATGGGTTTGTTTCTTCAACTTGAAAAATTCAATAATGGTAACCAGTCTAAGAGGCTCTGCTTTCCCAGGGCCTGCACGTGACCAGTCCTAGTGCAGGGGAGAACACCACCTTCTCTTTCTCTAAATTTCTCCTTCGCAGCAGGATTTACATACACCTTGGCACCTCAGTGCCTGGCTCAGAGGCAGTGTTTGACTCCCAAGATTAGAGGAGATGCTATTAAGCATTTTGCTGTGTGTCAACAAATGCCCAAATTGCTTAAATACTTGTTGAAATACTATGTTCTCCAAATATGGGACCATTGGGGCCTCCCGGTACTCTTATCCCTGTTTGGTGAAAAGAGGTTCTGTTCATTCTTGAAAGCTACTGAAGAGGCAGTCACCTCTGCACAGATTTGAGGGGGGAGCAAAATAACATAAGAAAGACAAATAATATTTTAATGCAGTATTTTTTTTAAATCCAAGATGAGCAAAATAAAATTTTAAAGACAGGATCAGTATTACCAATTTTTCTTTTACATCAGATCCTGTCTTTGTTTAAAATTTTAATGTTTTTGTGGAGTCTCCTTCCCCCCCCCCCCCCTTAATATTGAAAGAAAGATTTCAAGGGCTAAATAATGAAAGTGCTTTGTTAGCCATTAAATGCCTTCCGGTTGCAGAATGGCTCCTAAGTTAGCTCAGAGAATGTCAGGATAAATTTATCAGAAGGCTTCTATAATCCATCCATATAGTTGGATTCAATTGAAAACTCTGTACGAACTTTTTTTTTCTTAAATATATTGATTTCAGAGAGGAAGGGAGAGAGAGAGAGAGAGGGAAACATCAATGATGAGAGGAAATCATTGATTGGCTGCCTCCTGCACGTTGGACGGAGCCAGCAACCCAGACACGTACCCTTCACTGGAATCGAACCTGAGACCCTTCAGTCAACAGGCAGACTCTATCCACCGGTTAGGCCTCTGTACGAACTTGCAAAAGGAAATGGGCCTATTGACTGTGTGTTCAGGGCAAGACATGACGTGGCTTCAACTCCAGTGCAGTTCCCTCTTCCACTCTTAAGTCTGGGTCAGGGTATACTCTCCTATAAAAAGAGGGTTCTCTTCCTAGGGATAAATCTGTTGGGCACAATATGTAGAGTCCAAAGGAGACTCTTAAGGCATCATCTAAGTTATGAATTTTAAATGCCCATCTGAGAGCAGAACCCAGAAAGCATAAGAGTGATTCACATTCTCCTCACCCCATTTATTTTATTAGAGCAAGCTCCCCACTTCCTTTAAGGTTTTTACTAGAAAAGTAGGAATGTCTTTCTCCTTAGTTTATATTCTAAAACCTCTTCAGAGAAGTAGGGACTGCTTTATTATTAGCTGATCTACTTTACATATTTATACTTCATTATTAGCTAATCTACTTTACATATTTAGTCGGGTGAAGTTTAATATTGTGGTCAGATTGTGGTGACCAGTGCTGATTTATATTTTAAATGTTCTTGGTAATATTTAAATCTGAACATATTCAATATGGCTCTTATAAATTGCGATCATTCTGAATAGTATTTCAGTTTCTGGTTTCTAGACCTTCAAAGATGAGGTGATAAAAGCAGAACTTGAAGATGTTTCCTATTCTTGTATACAGGGCCTTCTTATGAACACACTACAGTATATAACCTACGGTAAAAGGTTGATAACTCACAACAGGGTTAATATTGCCCCCTAGGGGCTTTTTGTGAAACTTGTGGGGAATTTTTTAGCACAAAGATAGAGGGGTGTAATCTTTCATTGTAATAACGTGAAAGATAAAATCCAGGGAGGCTAAGCATCTTGCTGCTATACATGGCCAACCTTGCACAAGGAAGATTTATCCTGTATCCTGAAAGACTCAGATTTCTCCTACTGGATATTCACGTAGCAGTAAAACCTGTTTATGATTATCTAAGCCTCTAATCCATGGGTTCTCAACCTGTGGGTCTCGACCCCTTTGGGGGTGGAACGACCCTTTCACAGGGGTCGCCTAAGACCATCGGAAAACACATATATAATTACATATTGTTTTTGTGATTAATCACTATGCTTTAATTATGTTCAATTTGAAACAATGAAATTGGGGGTCACCACAACATGAGGAACTGTATTAAAGGGTCGCGGCATTAGGAAGGTTGAGAATCTAACCTAACTCTGATTTAATCTAAAGATAAACTATCTGGGCATAGTTTTAGTAAACACCTCTGCTTTCTTTCTAGCCCAAGGATAGATTTCTCTATTCTTGCTCTGAACATAACTTTAAACATCTCTCTGGATGTCTTTGATACTTTTTATAAGCTTTCCTTGGATTATGAAAGCTTCTGGATTTATCCTGAGTAATGCTGTTCTAAAAGATTTACTCTATTCTTCAGCTGGTTTTATGATCTTCAACTTTGTGGGTTTTTTGTTTTGTTTTGTTAATCCGTTAATCCTCACCTGAGAATTTTTTCCCCATTGATTTTAGGGAGAGTGGGAAGGAGGGAGGAAGTAGTAGGAAGAAGAGAGAGAGAGAGAGAGATACAGACATCAATTGATCACCTCCACACGCACCTCACCTGGGTCTGGGATCTAACCTGCAACCCAGGTATGTGCCCCTGACCAGGAATTGAAACCAAGACACTTCAGTTCTCCAGTCACTGCCAGGGCTGATCTTCAATTTTGTATGTGCAGTTTTATTTAATACTTAATGTTTAAATTTGTATTACACAAGTAATGCATGCTTATTATAGACAATTAGAAAAAATAGAGAAGCAACAAAGTAAAAACAAATAACTGCTAAAATCACTACAGTTAACATTTTGGTGTCTGTGCTGTGATGTTTCACTGAGCAAAATATGCATATGGAAATATATTCTTAATTAAAGGAATTGTTGTATTTAATATATTGTGAAATAGCCTTTTAAAAATCTGAACTCTGCAGTCTCATTTTTAAGAGCCTACCAGAACTCTTCTCATTTAGGTGTTCCTGGCCATGAGTTCATCAGCTATCTTTAATCTAAACTTTTCCAAACTTATTTTTTTGAAGGCTAGAGCAGTGAAGTTTTTATTTGAAGAATGTTTTGGGACATGCAAATAACATTCAATATTTACTTTATTTAAATAAAATGGGAAAATAAGCTTTACTGATACTTAGTGTGTGAATTGGCACTGGCATTTATAATTGGGCCAAAAGTCAGTTACATATCACAGGACACTAAGGCATTCTAAAAAAGGAGTAGGGGTTAGTTCCACAATGTACAGGGGATGACAGGCACTCGTCCTCAGGTATTACATAATAAACATGTTATAGTGTATGTTTGCTCAGCTAAATGGATCTACAGAGACAAGAAGACTATTTGAATATTTTAAATTTATCAACAAGAATATTTGAAATATAATGTACACTATTCTTAAAAATTAACCTCGCTCTAAAGATGCCGTAAGATAGTAGGAAATGATGGCATAAAAACACAATGTGGCTCAGTAGTTTAGTCAGCCTATTAACCAGTACGTCCCAGTTTGGTTCCTGGTCAGGGCACACGCCCAGATTGGGTGTTCTGTAAGCTAGGTGGAGAGATATCTTATTCAGAGTAGTAAGATGAAACCATTTGATAATTGACAATCTAGTAAAAAGAATTATGGCTACTGAAGAACAAGCCTGTTGCATTCTGGGACAGCTCTGGATTATAAAGGCAGCTCTGAAATATAAGGGTAACACATATTAGGATTGGTCAATCTATTGAGATTTGAAGTGGGAAGATCATTAATCTCTAAAGTTTCTTCCAGTCTCTCTATCAAGCCTTCAATTATAAATTGTTCCCTTTTCTGTCTGGGTTCCAGAACGTAAAGATAAGGATGCGTTAGATTTCTTTCACTTTCTCTTTCTCATAAGTATGTATACAAAACAATTCTGTTCTAGAAGCCTTACTACTATGGGAATTGTATGTCAGGATTTGGAAATGACGCTTAGAATTACTAACTTCTCTGACAAATACTCCTGAACTGTTTTTCTAACTAGTGAAGAAACCTATATTCAACTGATAATGGTTTTCCAGAGGTTGTTAGGTATTCAAGGCTTTTTACTGGAAACTAGAGGCTCAGTGCATGAAATTTGTGCACAGATGGGAGGGTGTCCCTCAGCCGAGCCTGCCCCCTCTCACAGTCCGGGAGCCCTTCTGGGTGGGAGGCGCTCACAGGCCGGGAGCCCTTCTGGGTGGGAGGCGACCTGGTTATCAGGGGAAGGCAACACCCCCATCACACCTCTGCTGCTGCCACTGCCAACAGCACAAGCCTCGGCCAGCCCTGGTTACCTGAGCCTTGGATGGCCCTGGATGGCTGGGCAGCCACTATCCGAGGCTTGCCTGTGCCTTGGGCTGGCCCTGGGAGGCTGAGGGAACTGGGGGACTCCAGAGGAGGGCGCACAGAGCTGCCAGGCCCACCTGTGGTGGGACCGGCCTTGCCGTGCACCTGCCGTCCTAGTGGGGCTGAAGGGACTGGGCGCCGCCATCTTGTGGCTGTGGGGACTGCCATCTTTGAGGGTGTGGCAGTCAATTAGCATATTCCCTCCTTATTGTCTGTGGGTGCCCAATCTTTGCGAAGGTGTGAGGGTCAATTAGCATATTCTTTCTTTATTAGATAGGATTAACAAAATTGGAATGAAAGTACATGGAGTTAATACTACTTTTTCTCTTCAGTGGAGACACATAAATTATTTTTTCATGAGAAATGGATTTGCTTTTAAATAGTTCAAATAACTAAGTTTGTTAAAGCTATGGGAATTATCCTTATCTAATAAAAGAGAAACATGGTAATTGGCGTACGACCACTACCCTTCCCATTGGCTAATCAGCAAGATATGCAAATTAACTTCCAGCCAAGATGGCAGCCGGCAGCCAGGCAGCTTAAACTGAACACGAGGCTTGCTTGCTTCAGTGACAGAGGACTCCAACGTTCCCCGCCTGCCTTGCCAGCCTCTGAG